TAAACTTCAAGTAAAAGTCCAACATAACTTCTCCATATATCACAAGGAGTGCCCACAAGAACAGGTGTGTACACTGTCGATGTTCAAGCTTCACCATAAGATCCTTCATCCAAAACAATTCAAAAATTATGGGGTTTATTGCCCTACCTATCAGCATTATCAACTTATTGAACCACATCTCATTGCCTATCACATCAATCTTTTTTGCAATTTTCTTCCGGTGTTTGGAACTGGTTCTTTGAACTTCAGAGTGAGTCTCCTTTCTCTTTTTTGGGCTCTTATTCTTTCTAGGAGTGGCTGAGGATGATCCAACCTTCTCCTTCCCTCCTCCTCCTCCTCCTCCTCCTCNCCTGAATTTTTGTCTCTCCTTTCGCTTTATCTTTCTCTCCTGAACTCGTTTTCAAGAACAACCTTGATTCCCCCATGGTATTTGGAGTTCTAGCCTTGGGAACTTCAATTTTACTTTGTCTCACAGTCGTGCAGGCTATATATTTGAATCTCCTAGAAGGTTTCACTCCTTCACCAATAACCGCCTTTTTTAACTAGCTAATTCTCTATACCAGAACTACATTTGTACTATCACTCCCTCTTTTGTTTACTTCAGTTTCTCCCTCTTTCTCACATGTATTTTCCTCCTCACTATAAGTAAATTGTATCCCCAGGGATGAAGAGTTTCTCCGTCGAGTCCAAAAAACTAGGTTCTTTGTTCTCAGGAAATATTTTACCAGCATCTTCCTCGACCTCCTCTACCAGGGTCTCTACTTGTTATACTCTCTCCTTCGCCTTCCATGCTTTCACGACCTTGAGATGAGATTTCGGGTCGTGACAAGTAGCGGCCTTGAGCAATTTGCAAGGCAAATCAAATCTGCTTAGCGTCTCTGCATACAGAGATCTACGGTACTCATCAAGTCCAATGCCACATATCAAAATATTTTTAGCTTTGGCATTCTTTTAAACTTACTTGATATCTTCCGCTGAGTAATTTTTACGGGGTTTGGATCCAGTAGGAATATACTTATCATCCACAGCCACATGAATCTTAGGAACTTTCTGAATGATATCCCAAAGTTCCAAGTCTTCGACTTCCAGAAAATCATGCATTCTCTCTTTACACCATCCATAGTATTTTTCGTTGAACAATGGTTGTTTAAAAGTTGATTATCCTTGATGAGTGTCTGGTAATGCACCATATTAGATCCTTTGGAGGTGTTAGTCTGTGATGAAAGTTAGTATGTGATGAAAAACCCGTTATGATATTAATTGTTATTCTAAGGTTACACCATGACGCAAGAGGGAGGGGTGAATTGTGTCTTGCCCGATTTTTGCAAATCATATAACCTGATTCTTTCACGTACCTAATTCAGACATAAACAACTAGTGAAGTACGGAACTGAAAGAACACAATGATTTTACATGGAAAATCTTCATTCTCAAGGGAATAAAAATCACGACCTACTCATGTAGGATTTGTCTTAAAACTTCACTAACTTCAAAAAGTATTTTTTGGGTTACAACTCAATAACCAAGGGGACTAACTCTAATACTCTTCCCTAACAATCATCCCAATTATAGCTGTTGTTGACGACCAATTTTGACCCTCCCTTTTTAAATTAATTTATTTATACTTAATAATTTGCAATGCATGTTTTGAAAATATTTTCAATCAATAATACCTATTTTACAAAATTAACTAAGTATTAGTAGTTTTGAAATTAATAATTTAGTATTAGTATTATGTAATTACAAATATACTTACTATTTTAAGATTATTAAAATAACTTTTAGGCTTTATAATCAATTTAATGAATTACTCCTTAATTTTTAATTAATTAGATTACTATGTTAATAATTTGAAATTAGTATTACAATTTAGAAAATAAAAGAATTTTATAAATAATTAATTACAATAATTAGTAGTATATTTGATAATTATAATTTTTATTACATTTTATTGGAAATAATTAAGTTTATTTAATTTAATTTTAAAAGGAGTTAAAAGGTTAAAAGGCTATAATCGCAATTCATAATTAAAACACAAAATGGCTACCATTTAAATTAATTCTAGCCCAATACATAGGCTCAATCCGGAATTGACCCAATTCAAACAACCCTCCCCCCCAATCCACCTTGACAATCCACGTCACCTCTTCCGAACCAATAGAAATTTGCCATGTCGACTATCTCCACCACTCACATAAGAAACACACACACATCTGAGCCGTTGATTCATCCGATCAATGGTTCAAATTTTATCTTGATTTGCCTTTTATTTTTAACGCCTCCCAGATCCAATCTCAGCCGTTGAAATACATGGATCCAACGGCTCACATATTTCCTCGTTAAAATCTGTAAATACCTACATTATCAGGGCCGTTGATCAAATGATCCAACGGCCCAGATCTTTTTCTTCCATTTTAACCTAGAGACCGGCTGGTCTCACCCAAAATCCTAAAATTATTTTCACTTTGTCCCCGCCGCCCCCTTTCCTTTTCCTCTCTCATTTTCTTTTAAGCCTCAGACCATCAGTCTTAGTACCCCAAATTATTCCCTATGCCTTCTGACTCCGTGAATCTCGTTGTTATCTCCCCATTTCATCATAAAAATTCAAAATCTCGAGTTCTCTGACCTAAACACAAACATGAAACTTCAGTCTTCAAATCTTCTGATTTTGTGACGAAATTAGAATATGCATGAGCTCCTTATGATGATTATTCTAAACCAGAGGTCAAATGCAATGACCTCTGGACCTCCGGTCTTTGTCCGATGGGTTTTTCACTCGTCATGGCTGTCTCGCACTCATAGTAAGATTCTCACTCGTTTTCCCTCTGATTCACTATGATTTCACCTTCTTTGCTATCATCATCCATCCTCTATCACTCTCCACTAATTGATTTGAATTTCTGAAACCCTAGGGTTTCACAACCACTATAAATTGGGGCTTTGAATGCTCTCACCAAACAGACCTAACAAGAGCTAAGAAACCTAATATGAGTACCAAAACAACCACTAAGATTTCAAAGCTTAGGCTCTCTCTCTCATTAATTTCTGTTTCCCTTATATTTCTGAGTTCTTTCACTGCTCAAAGGTTGAAGCTTTGGTTCCTACATGGCTAAGTTAAACCTTTGTTTGGTCTGCTGTACAAAAGGAGGTCAGTATACCTCGACCCCCTTCTCTTTTGATTGTCTTATTCGAAATCATGAATACATTGTTGTCTTTCTATTGATTACCTTTGTTTATGATATTTGTCATTAGCTTATAACTATTTGTTCCAGTTCATAATGATTTTGTTATTGATTTATGGCTAACTGCTATGCTTTTATGTGTTTCGAATCAGTGTTAAGTGAGTTATTATGTGACCTTGATGACTACTATTCTAAATCAAATGGCATGTACAATTAAGTTCCTTATATTCCTTAATGACTTCTCACATTTATCTAGACTTCAGAGTTTTTTAATATTCTGATGTGATCTTTATATCTATCACACTATTTCTGTTTAGTGTAGTTTGTTGTTTTGTATTTGAGGTTTTGCTGAATTTAACTAGAACATACATGAATGCTTAAGGTTTAATCCTTCATCACTTAGCTGGAGTATGTCAGTCCAAGTGTTTAAGGTGTTTTCGTTCTTCACATGAATGTTTGTTAATCCTGAAGTAGTCTTTGAATCATTACTGTGAAAGCTTTGTATTTGTATTAACTATTAATTACATCTACAAGCCTTATTATATGAAATAGTCTCATTAAGGTAACTAGGCCAACTCTAATGAACTCCAGTATCTATTCTTGCATGTATTATGTCATGATAAAGTCATCTCTTATGGATTAGGCTATAGTCATATCTGCTGTGACTGCGTATTAATTATTATGTCAGTAAGTTGAGTAGAAATCCATCATGTTTAGACATTCACCTTTAATTTGTATAGCTAAGTTAAGATCTACTTAGTGCAAAGTCTCTCTTGTCTTAAACTTCTTTAATGATATTATTGACTTAACTTCATAAGGTTTGAAACTCAGCCTGTTTGTAAAATCATAACCTTGACTGAAATTTCCTATATATGCATTTGAATGAAAGTATTGCATTCATCTTTGTCTGTCCTTCATGCTCATGCTTGTGCATCTAGTATCATTAAAACCTGTTGAGTTTATCTGAGTCTACTGTAATCCACTATCAGAACTAATGGAAGACTTTGAAACTGTCTGCTTTGCCTGAATATTGCAATGTGCTTTGACCTTCAAACAAAGACAACGTGAATGTGACACCTAGAGCTCTTTGAAAAGAGAGCAATCATATCGCATGCTTAGGGTAATATTGGCATGTCAACCAGTACAAACAACTCTGTTAATTCTCTTAAGAGATTCCTAAATGAAGCTACACAACTCAACATCGAATATAAGTCAAGACTTAGTTTCTGCTAAGTGCCTTTGTATATGTTCCATTCTGTGATCCTGCACTTATTCTTGTTCTTCAATACTTCTGTTTGTCCTTCATGATTTCATGCATGCTTTCACTGTCTTGAAACTGCATCAAGTTCTCTCTCTCCTTTAACATGAATTGAACCTAGTCTAAGAACTCTAAGGAAAATCTCATATTGCTACTGCTTGGATATAACAGTCTGTTTATTCTTAGTGGGAGTTTAACATTCTTAGAGAAAGGCGATCAAGTCATTAATTTCAAATATAAGAAAGACTAGTGGCATGAGATTCTGTCAAGTACTCTTAGGAGTTTTTTTTAAAGTTATGAACCTGTAGTCTTGTTGAAACTTTGAGTGCATTTTAGTATCACTAACAGTATCTGTAGAGGTTCTGACTATGACTATTTGTCTGAAATCTTGATTGATACTTTCAAAGCTGCCAGTTGTATTATTAACTTCTGTGTGCCAAAGACCAGACTTGAGTTAAACCAATCAGTGCTTAGTTTAATTAGGGGTTATCAAAGCAAAAACATCTGTATTCATAAACTGTTGAAAATTTGAACTGTGTGCTCTTTCTTTATTCTTAAGATACCTAATCCAGTTGTTTGGTTCTTTAGTGGTAGCATGACAGTACATTTGCCTCTATGTGTGTTTGAAACTTAGCCTTTGGACATGTTTAATGTGTTGATCATCCACTTGGTGTTGGAAATATAGTTATAAAAATATAGATAAAATTATTTTGTGTCCTTATGTTATTCTGTTTGGCCCTGTTAAGAAAGGGGTACACTTTTGTAGTATGGTATTATTATGGTGACTGGTTTACATTGAAAGTACCTCATTGGCACATAAACCTATAGGGAAGAGTGAATCATTAATGGTTATGACTATTTGAGAATAGGGTTTAGCTCAAGGTTGGGCTTCTCTCCTTGAAACAAGCTTTGCCTTGGGCCCTAGAGACCCTCGGAAACTTTGAAGTGTCAGGGGATTCAAAGAGGGCTTTGACCTTGAGTGGAACTCTACCCTTAGTCTCTAACCCATTGATATTCATTACTCCTTTTGGGTTTTGTGTTTAATGACAACGAAAGTGTTTTAATGTAAATATTTACCACACATAACCACCACATTAGTATGACCTTTCATAATATTTAAGTACTGTTAGTTGCTATATTTTATTTTGTCATTTTACTCACATATTTCATGTATGATTGTATGTATAGAATATTATTTTTAATGACTTTATCTCTTTCTTTTGAACATGTACAACTATTGGGCCTGCTGAGTTCTCAAGAAACTCAGGCCCAAACCCGCATCATGCACCTGAAATTTGGAGCCTATTGCTGTCCCTTCCAGCTGATTATTGGGCCTAGCTCTTTCAGGACCAAACCAGAGTCACTCCTTACCTTTACTGCTTCATTACATCTTGTTATTTATATTCTATTACATGTATATACATTGCTCTCGTCATGTTTGATTTAGTATTTTGCTTTACCTTTTGAATTATATAAATAACTTAGGCAAGCCTTAAAGAACGTAGGGTTAAAAGAAATACTAGATAGTAACTGTTTCTCAATTGATTAATTCACGTACTGTCCACATTATTAATCTTCCATGCTAACCTTTTCGTGAAGATTTTGAAGCTAAACAAGAGTGCTTAGCAAAGACGGCAATCCTTCTTTCAAAACCAGAAACGAATTGCAAGACTAGCCTCTTAAAAGAAAATTGACTCTTTCAAAACTTAGGAATTATCGTCCAGCAAGAATTTTTAAACATTCTCTCAAGCCTAAGATTTAGGTAATTTCAGAAGTCAAGGTATACCTTAGACTCATTTGCTTATAACATCTTAGAATTATATGAACATCCATTTCTTTAAAAGAACAAAGTGTTTTCTACATGCTTCATGCAGACCATTCAATTTTAGAACTCTTTTAATCACATCAATGGTAGGTTTTTTCAAGACTCTTTCTAAAACTCATACTCCCTTTTAAATCCCAGGTCCCTTCTAGCATCCTACTCTCACCTAGATAAATATTAAGTCATGCCTCTCTAAATACTAATTAAGCAGAATACAAACAACTAACCCTTTAAACTTAGTATAAGTCCTATGGAACTACCTCATGTAGATTTTAAGGGGTGCCTAACACCTTCTCCTTAGAAGAACAATAACCCTTACCCAAAATCTCACCGGTTAGCAGACTAATAAAGAATATGACTTTAGTAATTAAATAGGTACCCTAGTATACCTTTAAATATTAGGTGGCAACTCTCTTTCATCAACAATAGAGAAACCACAAGTTGAATCTTGTTTTGACTCCAACTTAATGCTCCAAAACCTTGAATATTTCGGTTAAGAAAAATCTCTCCTTAGTAGATTCAATTTACTTATTTATTTTCAACTCCTCAACTGTTCCTTTAAAGCAAGTTTTTCACGATTTATAGAATTTCCTTTTTGAACACAGATTCCCTTAGCTAATATTTTTCTTGTAGTGCACGAGTTGTCTTCTTCTACTTTCCGTTGTTTCTGATCAACGTCCTCAGCATTCTGATTCATCCTGTTATAGACTTGGTTCTTTCATCATCTGAATATTTTGTTGTGACACTAGTTAGTATGCAAATTACAACAATGAAACTTGATTCTTTCAACACATTTGTTAATTATCAAAACTTAATTTATGCTATACATACTCAGCTCAATAGTTGTTCAGCATGCAAGTATTGATTGCGTACTAGACTACTAGAGTTTTTTCTCACTGAAATTTGTGGTGTGTACGTAATTAGGAAAGAAGCTAGATTTTGTATGCGAAAACTGTCATATATATATATATATATCGATCATTTTGTTATGCAGATGACAAAACAATAGAATATTCACCCTTAGCACCCCAATAAAAGAAAGAATTTAAGTTCTATATACGAATGATGTAGATTTTTACACATTTTATTCACTCATGAGAAAATTACTGAAAAATCCTTATGATAGACATTAATTAGTAACCTAGTAAAAATAATACAAACTTCCTATTATAATAAAAATTAAGTGACAGTGTAAATAATTTTTACAATTTCCATATATATAACTTTAATACTAAATGTAATGTTTCTTCATGGAACATTACTTATTGTTCAAGTTACGTCAAACAGGACATTATGATATGGAGGCCATGATCGATCATCTTTTCAAGTATATGAACGGGTAGATCTTTTGACCCTGCTGGTTTTGTAATTAGTGGAAACCAATTGCTTTATAGTGTGTGATTGAGAATATACTCATATATAGTCCCACCTCAATTCAAGGCCTAGAATTACATGTATACAATAGTAAAATGTGGAAGTGAGTGCGCTGTAAGCCATAATATATTATGGTATGCGGACCACACCATTAACACTAGAGCAGAGTCAACTGATTGACAAACAGAAAGTAACCAAGAAGGTGCAAATATAAATAGGAGCCAAATTCACTTGCAACTTTGTCATCACGAAAAAAGAGATAGACCTCTGATATGCCAGAGAAAGGACCAGACAGCCTTTTGCTTCTTTCCCTTATCTTGTTCCCATAATCAGTTCTAATATATTTTCTTGTACCAATATAGTGTTATGCTTTGAGATTCCTATGTCAAAGTAAGAGGATATCAATACATATTTTCTTCTTTTCTAGTTCAGAAAGGTAAGCGGGAATAAGAGGGATTGAGTTGATGGATAGGGAAGAGACAAGAAAGAATAAGTTGATCAAAAGGGAATCTGCTGTGTCTATGGGTACTGCGACAGAGCAAAACTCTGTTGATTGGAGAGGAAGACCTTGCAAACCCAACAAACATGGTGGCATGACTGCTGCTATCTTTGTATTGTGTACGTCTCTCTTCTCTTTCTCTCTCCAAATTCATATACACCCCAGATTTGAATTTGAATGGCCTATTGTTATCATATTGCTTCCCAAGACTAGCTTAAAAATTGAAAGCAGGTTTTCTTAGGTGGTGTTCATTGAAAACATAATTAACTACTTAAATAATAGTACTAGTGTTTTCTTTCTAATAACTTAAGCTCTTTTAGATGCGATATAACACAATTCTAACATAATATCAAAGTTTTAAGCTTTTAAAATGAGAACATGCCATCTTTATTCATCAGTGCTGTTCCTTTTGTTTTTATTCCTTTTGTGTTCCTTCTAGTATATCACATGAATACTTTAGCATTTTATTGGTGGTAAAATTTGGCATTTTTATTTGGAGGAGGTGCAGGCCTTCAGGCATTCGAAATGATGGGCATTGCAGCTGTTGGGAACAATCTAATAACCTATGTCTTCAATGAGATGCACTTCCCTCTCTCAAAGTCAGCTAACATAGTCACAAATTTCATTGGAACTGTTTTCCTCCTCTCCCTTTTTGGTGGCTTTCTCTCCGATTCTTATCTTGGCAGCTTTTGGACTATGTTGATCTTTGGCTTTGTCGAACTCTCTGTAAGTCTCCTTCTTCACTAACCTCCGTGTAGACCTCTTTTTTCCACAAATACTGCATGCTCCACATAAAAGAACAAAAAGATTTTACATGACCAAGTTTATTTGGACATACAACTGCAGTTGCCCTTGCATATGGAAAAAGAAAACCATTTTCGACGTCTATTATGGAATAGTCAATGAGATTTGAACCTTTTTTTCTTGCACATGCGATAAGAAGTAGAAAGTATTCAATACTAGTATATATGATTAATAAGCATGTGAAGACATATATATAACAAATGATTCAAGACTCTTATGTGCATATTGGCAGGGGTTTATTCTATTGGCAGTGCAAGCACATGTGCCACAGCTAAGGCCGCCAAAGTGTGATATGATGTTAAGCAAAGGGCAGTGCATGGAAGCAAAGGGATATAAGGCTATGATCTTCTTTGTTGCACTCTACTTGGTTGCTTTAGGCAGCGGCTCTTTGAAACCTAATATAATCTCTCAGGGTGCTGACCAATTCAAGAAAGATGATTCCAAGCAATCCAAGAAGCTATCTACTTACTTCAACTTTGCCTATTTTGCTTTTTGTACTGGGGAGCTTGTTGCTCTAACACTTGTTGTTTGGGTGCAAACTCACTACGGAATGGACGTTGGATTCGGGGTTTCTGCAGCTGCAATGGCCCTTGGATTGATCAGTTTGCTTTGTGGAACACTTGTTTATAGGAACACACCACCTCGAGGAAGTATATTCACACCAATTGCCCAAGTAAGAATATTCATTTGTCTTCTCTCCTTATTCTATATACTAGTATATGTTTTTGTTTCTTATACTTTAAGTAACGTATAATTTCCTTTTCTTTAAAGTGTAGGATCAATTGATCATATCTCTGTAGTTTGTTTCTATGCACTCAGATGTCCATTATCTTAAAAAGTTTTTGAATCACTTACAGCTTTATTTTGGGTCATTTAGCTTTACAAGGAAGTTAGGAAAAGAAATGTCTTGCCTAGCTATCTTTCATTTTATCTTTACAAGTCATACAACAATAGCTAAATTTTCGTTGATATAGTTGTGGTGGACCCTTGATTTCCTTTTAAACCACTTGTCCAATGGCCATGAATTTATTCCGATAATCCTTGTTGAATATATATACAGATCTGGCGAATTTATTGTTTTAATCTACATTATTAAACCATACTTTGCTATAACTACTTAAAACTGATGGTTCTGAAGGATCATGATTCATGAACACGTGTTTATAACAATAGGGACAAAAAATTTCAATTCTAATAGATTAGGTGTAGTATGCCGATTTATTGCAAAAAGATCTGGAGTTTAGTTGTTCACCATTCTCTACTAATTAATTTACTAATTTGCTCCCCAAGGTATTTGTGGCTGCAATCACAAAAAGAAAGCAGATTTGTCCATCAAATCTGGAGATGCTTCATGGAAGCCATTGCATTGTGGCCCAACAAAGCCTTTCTGGCATGTCATCAAAAGGCAGCACTCTTATCCATACGGATAAGTTCAGGTGGGATACCATAATATCTTGCTCTCTGAGTTACCACCCCACAATTTATGGCTATATTACTGTTTAGAAAGTGAAAAAGGCTTTTTCCTACTACCATTTTTTAAATCTTTTTTAATAGCGAACTATTAATTATTTTTACTTATAGTATCTTTTACTCCCTATGTTTTAATTTATATGACTCTAATTACTACTAGAGTTAAACAAGATTTTCTTTGACCATATTTTTTGCACCTAAGTTTTAACTATTTTGAATTGTTAACTGTTGTGACTTGTAGTACCTTTTACATAGTCAAAAATTTGTATATTTTATATGCGAAAACTAGTCAGCTTGACCATCGTAATCCAACCTATGTCATAAATTAAAATGGAGGGAGTATGTAGATTCTAAATATGTAAATTTTATTTTAAAAAAATTGAAGAATATATGTCCGAATTCACCGGCTATATATATGTATGTGTCTCTGTCTAACAAACACACAAATATACGTATACATAAAGCATTGGAGGTGTATTCCTGGTTGACCCTTTTTTCTCTTTAACTTTCTCTGTGTGTTTGTGCAAGGCAGGTTCTTAGACAAGGCGTGTATCAAAATACAAGATGGAAGTAGTAGTACAAGTGAAAGTCCCTGGAGACTATGCACAGTGTCCCAAGTGGAGCAAGTAAAAATACTAATCTCAGTTGTTCCAATCTTCGCTTGCACCATAATCTTCAACACAATTCTAGCTCAGCTCCAGACATTCTCAGTCCAACAAGGAACTACAATGAACACTCGCCTCACGCACAATTTCAAAATCCCTCCAGCTTCCCTTCAGGCCATACCTTATATTATGCTTATATTTTTGGTCCCTCTGTATGAAATCGCGTTTGTCCCCATGACCAGAAAGTTCACTGGCAAAGATTCAGGAATCACGCCTTTACAAAGAGTTGGCATTGGCCTTTTCATCGCGACATTCTCTATGGTCTGCGCTGCTCTAGTTGAGAATAAAAGAAGAAACTATGCCCTGAACCAGAACAGGACACTGTCCATATTCTGGATAGCTCCACAGTTTCTAATTTTCGGCCTGTCGGAGATGTTCACTGCTGTTGGACTTATTGAGTTCTTCTACAAACAATCATTGGAAGGGATGCAATCTTTTTTGACGGCCATGACCTATTGTTCCTATTCATTTGGATTTTATTTGAGCTCTTTGTTGGTTTCGTTGGTTAACAAAATAACCTCTAGTTCATCATCAGGATCAGGTGGATGGCTAAATGACAATGACCTCAACAAGGATAGGCTAGATCTTTTCTATTGGCTGTTGGCTGCTCTTAGCCTAGTCAATTTCTTTAATTATATTTTCTGTTCCAGATGGTATTCTTATAATCCATCTCTGTTACCTGTTGTCCCACTGCATGAGCCACAACCACAAGGACATGACCCTGAGAACCCAAATTGATGTGTATGGAATTGGGAATTAAGCTAACTATAGCTGTAGCAATAGAATGAAATGAGTAGAATTATATGTTGATAATACTACTTTTCGTCTCCCCCCTCCCTTTATTTCTACTGAATTTTCTTGTATATTTGGAAGGATGACATACAATGATTGTTTTTATGCTTCTAGTGACTGTATAAGTTGGACAATAAGGGGGACAGGGTCCTCCAATACGTCAATTACAAGATTCAACCCATCAAATGTGTGTCAAAATGAGTGAACACGGGCCTCAATTTCTCTTTTCTAGTGGCGAGGAAATGGCAAAGCCAAATGTTGGGATGTGGTTCCTGCTTTAATTAAAGGAAGAGTCGTTCTAAAGTAAGTGGTGATGGCGATTTCTCAAACTTTCTCGTTAGCCTTGAAACATGAAGTTGAAGAATAGTACAAACTTCTTGAAAACTCAATTGATTAATGCCTTGGACTTAGCTTTTGTAAATTCTTAAAAAATATTTATCCTGTTTAGGTCTTTGATAATTTGTTGTGTTTGTTGTACACCATTAGCTTTCCTTCGAGCTTCACAGCTCCTCTGCTACGTAGGTATAACTGAGGCAGAAACCTCAAAATTATGTTGTGGGTAGGAGATGATATCGTAGCTTCTCTATTATCGTCTTATTCTTAATCCTCAACGATAACCAACTTAATTAAGTTACTGATCTGGCTTGGAACGAACATGGTGATAAAATGATAATTGTACGTAATAATGGGGACGTTCACATTAGGTACAATAGTAGTAATTCATAATGCAATCTACTCAACCAAGCTTCATTTTTGAACCTCAATGCTTCTAATAGAATTTAAATTATTTATCTAGATAGACGATCTCCTTTGGTCCTTTTTATGTCAGAAGAATGATCCAATAAATAAATCAGTGGTGCCAAATCAAAATAGCATCCGTCCAACTGTCACGACCCCAATTCACCCTCCGTAGTATATCGTGATAGCACCTAGTCTCTAAGACTAGGTAAGCCTAACAATTTAAGAAATATGATAATATAAAACTCAAGCCCAATTCTCAACACATGAAATAAATATAAAACTGCAAATCAACAATTACAACTCTCAAAACCTGGTAGAAATAAGTCACAAGCTTCTAAGAGAAAATACTAAGTGTCTCTATACATCAAGTCTAAAGAGAATAAGAGAAACATAATAATAAGGATGGGGGGGGGACTCCAAGGTCTGCGGACGCTGGCAGATATACCTTGAAGTCTCCACGTATAGTCCAGCTCACTAGTATCTGGCATGGTAGGAAGAACCTGGATCTATACAAAAAGATGTACAGAGTGTAGTATGAGTAAGCCACAACGGTACCCAGTAAGTGTCAAGCCTAACCTCGGTAGAGTAGTGACGAGGTCAGGTCAGGGCCCTACTGGTTTAAAAGAAAAGTAAGGCAGAAGATATAATAATATTTGAAATGACTGAGAATTTAAATAACGAGAAACTTCAGAAAATAATAGCACAACAAAACAGAGGTAAACAACAAGGGCGCTCCCGAGGTACCGCCTCGTAGTCCCAAATGTAAATATGCAAGACAAGGGGATCTCCCGAGGAACCGCCTCATAGTCCCAAAGTATATATGCAGTACATGGGGATCTCCCGAGGAACCGCTTCGTAGTCCCAAAGTAAATATGCAGTACTGGGGGATCTCTCGAGGAACTACCTCGTAGTCCCAAAGTAAATATGCAGCAGATAACCGAAGGAACAACGAATTTACAGCAAGAAATCTTACAGTTAAAGATTTAATCCAAATCAAGGGAGACAGGTAATTCAACTAAGCATGTTGCACAAATTGCAAGTAAGAGTTAAGGCACGTAGACATGTGATACTAGACTAATCATGATCATTACATATGCTAAGAAAACTCAGTTAAGGAATTTAAAAAAAGACAACTCATCAAGAACCGAAATTTCCACAATTAGCCCGTGTACGAACTCGTCACCTCGCGTACACGGCGATCACATATCACAAATTATTACAACAGTACCAAATCCTAAGGGAATTTCCCCCACACAAGGTTAGACAAGTCACTTACCTCAAATCTCGCTCAATCAATCAATAAGGATGCCTTTCCCTCGATTTTTCGACTCCGAATGACCCAAATCTAGCCAATATCAATTACATATCATGAATACAACTATAAGAAACTAATTTAAATAATGAAACTACGACTTAAGTAGAGAATTGAAAAATCGTCCCAAAAAGTCGACCCGGGCCCACATCTCGGAATCGGGTAAAACTAACAAAATACGAACACCGATTCGATATCGAGTTCACCCATTCTAGAGACCTCGTGGCCTCTCTCTCCTCTCTATCTCGAGTCAGCATACCCTCCAAACTCCTAGGAATCCCTACTAACTGCTGGTACGCAATATCCATCTTCAACTCTCGGGCCATGATCAATTTGATACTGGGGTTGAACCCCTTAATAAACCGATGAACCCGCTCTCAAACAGTAGTAACCAAGGCTGGTGCATACTTGGCCAAATCACTAAATCAGACCGCATACTTTGACACAGTCATAGCATCCTGGCGTAACTGCTCAAACTCTGCGCGCCAATCATCCCTGAGACTCTGGGGAACATACTCCCTCAAGAACATATCTGATAACTGAGTTCAAGTGAGTGAAGGTGCCTCAGCCGGGCTATCCAACTCGTATGCGTGCCAGCACTGATAGGCCGCTCCTATAAGCTAGAACGTAGTGAAAGAAACCCCACTAGTCTTTGCAACACCCATAGTACGAAGGATACGGTGGTACTCCTCAATAAAACCCTGGGCATCCTCTAACGCCAAGCCACTGAAAGTAAGAGGGTTGAACTTCTTGTACCTCTCGAGCCTGAGCTGCTCCGCCTCAGAAGCTACTACCCTAACCTCGGGCTGAACTGAAGCTACTAATGCATCGGTATGATCTTTGGATCCTGGTCTACCTGAACCCGCTGCTCTGGGGTACCGGCGACGGGGGTCTGGGCTCCTCCCCGGCCTGAGATGTGGCAGGAGCAAGTGGTATCAATCCTGCTTGAGCCAAGGTGCTAAACATGCTTAGAAGCTGGGCTAGAGTCTCATGGACGGCTGGTGCAGTAACAGTCGTCTCAGGTGACTGTCCTCCAACTGGAGCTACTGGTGGCTCCTCTGTAGCAGCTCATGCGGGTGTTCTGGCTGCACCACGTAGACGTCCTTGGCCTCTACCCTAGCCCCAACCTCTCGCGACTCTAGTATGGGGCGCAGGTGTCTGGTCATCTGATCCAGCTGTACGTGTCCTCACCATCTGTGAGAGAATAGAAAGACAGGATTTTAGAATCCGAAGTCAAATCTCGCACATTAAGGAATCAAAGAAGTGAAGCTTTTCCTAACAGTTCCATAGCCTCCCGAAGATAAGTACATACATCTCTATACCGATCCGCGAGACTCTACTAAACTTGCTTGTGACTCATAACACCTATGAACCTAGTGCTCTGAAACCAATTTGTCACGACCCCAATTCACCCTCCGTAGTATGTCGTGATGGCACCTAGTCTATAAGACTAGGTAAGCCTAACAATTTGCGGAATATGATAGTATAAACCTAAAGCCCAATTCTCAACACATGAAATAAATATAAAACTGCAAATCAATAATTACAACTCTCAAAACCTGGTGAAAATAAGTCACAAGCTTCTAAGAGAAAATACTAAGTGTCTCTATACATCAAGTCTAAAGAGAATAAGAGAAACATAATAATAAGGATAGGGGGGACTCCAAGGTCTGCGGACGCTGGCAGATATACCTTAAAGTCTCCACGTACAGTCCAGCTCACTAGTATCTAGCCTGGTAGGAAGAACCTGGATCTACACAAAAAAATGTGCAGAGTGTAGTATGAGTACGCCACAACGGTACCCAATAAGTGCCAAGCCTAACCTCGGTAGAGTAGTGACGAGGTCAGGTCAGGGCCCTACTGGTTTAAAAGAAAAGTAAGGCAGAAGATATAATAATATTTGAAATGACTGAGAATATAAATAAGGAGAAACTTCAGAAAATAATAGCACAACAAAACAGAGGTAAACAACAGGGGTGCTCCAGAGGTACCGCCTCGTAGTCCCAAATGTAAATATGCAAGACAAGGGGATCTCCCGAGGAA